AAATTTCGACTGGATTGAATAAATTAATCTAGCTGGCCAACCTGGTGGTTATCCTTGATTCACTTTTCTTTCTCTTTAAATTCTATCGGCGAATTTGATTAATAAACTATACCGTAAATTATCGTTTTATGCACATAGTAATTTAGAATATCGCGTTATCTGTTGTACCGAGTCAACATTCCCTCCGATATCTATGCAAATTTCTTACCTGTGTATATAATTTTCGACTCTATATTTCGAATTTTTTAATTCGAACCGCAGCAAAAATTTCCTTTCGATTTATATGGCTAATTAATTTTATTAAAATCCACGATGAATAAAAAATATTCATCATATCAAATCATATATATATTTTTCATATTTACTAAGAATTGAATTGTGTATTAAATATAATCAATGATATGTACACTTTTCCCTGGAAATTTCGAGTTGAGTTAAAGACATATTCAGATTATGATGCTCACTTAAACCTTAAGATTTCGAGTGTGACTCGACATCACATTTCTTACACCAGAGTTAGACTCGACATTGTACAACAACAAGCTTCTAAAATAATTTAATTTAATTTAAAATTCATTTTCTTTCAAATACTTTGTTAATACTTTACACAATATTTCATTGAGATCCTCTTTTTATATGCTTTTTGTAAATGAATTGAAAAAAAAAATTAAAGAGCGCAAAGGGTTAATCGCAAAGACAATCTTTTTTTAATTCTGCAAACTGGTCCGCAAACGCAAATTGAAGAAGAATTTTGAAGAAGCGCGAAAGATTTAAAAAAATGAATTTTTCTCAGTGGTTGAAATACGGATAAAGAAAATTTGTTTTCCAGCGTACTTCTTTATCTTTATTATGTGATTAATTATAAAAAAAAAAAAAGAGTATTTTTATCAGATCAATTGTGAAAAGAAGAGGGGATTGGAAGTTATTCGGTTGGAAAAGTAGGTCGTGTTTCAGCGAAAGGTTGAGTAACAATGATATCGTTCAATTTTGTGGGCATACTCGTTCCCGATAAAACCTGCATATCTGACGTGCGTCCACGACACGTTCGCCTGTTTGGAGTACACACGACAGATACATAGATTGCATCGTTAATTGCACAGGTGTCGAAGCGATAACAAGGTTAACAATCCTTTAAGACCGTTGCCCGATTCGCGTCATTCGTCAAAATTAAAATACTTAAGGTTAATTAAAAATGTTTATTAATGTATTAAAAATGTTTTTCTCTTTTTTTTTTTTTTTTTTNTTTTTTTTTTTTTTTTTTCTTTTTTTTGAGAATGCATTTGTAATTTTCGCTCGTGTGTATCCCAATAAATGATCGTGTTTATGAAACGAGAAAGTCGAAGAAAAATGAATTTATCGTATTTGTTATCTAAGATTTCTTTTTTTTTTATATAAACTTTTTATGAAATACATGAAATACAAAGTTAACGCGAAATAATCTTATCTTTGAAAAAATAAAATTGATGATATTTATCAAAAAATTTATATATATAAAAGAAAAACATTTTCAACAGGTGATTGTAATATTTCCTGTAACATTTTTATAAAGATGCAAGATAAAACTTGTTTTGACATATGCGATATATTTTAAATGTAATTCAGGATGAAACGGAACTCTTGGAATTAATATGTTTTTTCATCAAGTGTCTGACACTTGAAAAAATTTTCTTGATTAAAAAAACAATTCTTTTTTGTGAATTTTTTCAGACGAAGAAAATTTTTTAATTTTTTTTCCTTTCATCAAATATTCTCTTTCCCTTATAACAGCAAATATATTATATAAAAAATTAATCCAGATCAAAAGCAGATCAGAATTTCCGCTTTCTTCCGCAGAATTCGACGAAAAAATTTATTCAAAATCAATCAATTTCCGATTAATAATTTTTCAGAAAAAAGGAAAAGGAACGATTAATCCTCTCGATAGCGAAATCCTCGATCGATTCAAACTACGACACACGATTCGTACGATACGATCCTGATAAAAATCGAAGTCGATTCTTTTCAGAGGGTCAACGAATCCCGACAAGGTAAGAGTAGAAACGAGACGTGCAATGGAAGCAAGCATGGCTGTCGCGTCTCGTGTCCCTCTTGAAAAGAAACGCGTATACAAACGTGGATATTCAACGGACATCGTACGTATTCTTTTATCTCTCTTTTTCTCTCTCTTTCTCTGTCTCTCTCTTAGATCGGCTTCTCGAGGATGGAGGGAAAAAAAAACGAAACAAAAAACGGAGGAAAAAGATGAACGATAATCCGAGCTCTCTTCGCTATTCCAGGGGAATATTAAACGGAGACAGAGTGAATAGAAATCGAGAACTTGGGCGAACGAGAATGTCCATAATGCTTTCTAAAACTGTTATTTATCGCATTCGCGACACACGTATCTCGGGGATCTCGTTTGGAATTTATCGTACAATGTTTACCTTCGATGGTCATCGACAAACACGTGGATAGCTTGACACCAGTCGCAAGCAGTCCCTTTTATGATTTTGAATTTTCTTGAGAAAATTTATCCTTCCTTTTTATTCGATCTTTATATCGAGGATTTCTCACTTTTGTGAAATTTTGTTTTTAAAGGACAATTTGTCTATTTAAATTATCTATCTTCTATGATAAATATCGAATACCAAGAATTTGTAATAAATAAGAATCCGTATTATTTTATACTCTATTTTAATCGCGTTTAATCACGAAGCTAAGTAAATAAAATATATCACACATGTCTATTTAAAAACATATCCATCCCTTTCTTGCTACAAGAAATCCTTATGAATTTATTTTGTAATTCGCGTGGAATTACGAAGTCTCTTCTAGCGAATCCATCGTATGAACTTAAAACAATTAGGTATCGAGGTTTCGGCCGATTATTGGCGCGCTGTATATCGCCAACTTGAGCAATCCTGTATGCCGCCGCATTCTGAATAACATTATTTACACGTTCCCGGAAAACACCTGCCAGAACTCGTTCGTGATTTCATTACACCCGCGTTGTTTCGAGATGCCATCATTTAAAGAAACGGAGAAGATTTTGAAAAAAAATTCTCCACTTACAGGGAAGAGGAAAAATTTTAGAAAGTGCAAGTCTTTATGAGAAGAAATTTTTTTTTTCTTATAATAAGTATCTTTAGTTGAGATATTTAGCCAAGTTCGAGAATAATCTCAGATTCTCAGGTTTGAGGAAAAAAGAAAAAAATTGTTATTTACGATATGATACAAACTTATATAATGAATGATAAAAATTGATGATTATTTTTTTTTCCTCTCCGCAACAAGCGTTACGCGATTTGTTTAAATAATCAATGAAACGATATCGTTGCATGATTGTAATGTTCATTAACTTCTTCGTATTAATTCAATATTCAAGGATACAATGAAATATCGAGTTTCATGGATATATTTTTAATAAAGAGGAATAATTAAATTATATTCCAATATCAATCTTATTTACATTTTATTAAATATTCAATTCTCGTTGTGGTCTATGCTAATGCATTTTAAACGCAGGGAGTAGAATATCATTCATTTCGATACTTTATACATGCACACGTAATATCAAACGTAGATGACTCGATTTAAAAAAAAAAAAAAAAGGATAATGATGATAAAAATTTATTTAATTTCTGGTAGAATTTATATCTCTTATTGCCGATATTTCAATCAGAAACGAAAAAAAAAAATTTAAAATCGACGAATCCTGAATTTTAAAAAAATATGTATACGCAAATATTATAAATATAAATATAAATATTATTAATATAAATATAAAATATAAAAATATAAAAACCAATTTAACCAATCTTGTACGAAATCTAATCCAAACCTATTTCGAATACTTTAAAAAAACAATATGTAATACACAAAAAATATATTAATTACATTACATAAATATAAATAACGATCTTAATAATATTTCAAGATCATCAAATTGACGTGAAATGACATGTCTTTTCGTCTTTGAACGACGAAAATCGTTATAGTTATTTTTATTATTTTATTATGATTATGATAATAACAGTTATGATAATTGGCACCAAACTATCGCATCGTATCGATTTTCTATCGTTGTACACATCTTGGTAAAAAAATTGAAATTCAAAGATTCGTCGTATTCTCCATACATCAAAATCACGAATAAACATCTCGATTCCGATTAGATAATTTAAGATCAAATTGCTTAACCAGTTACTGGATACAACTTCGAAACATATCATTGTGGATCGATTTAATTTAAAGTAAATAAAATTAAAATAAAACGAAAATCTTGATAAATTTTATAAAGTTTTATTTATGGAGATGTTTATTATATAAAACTTCGAGTATGTGTTCTTTCTGATGGAAGATTATCATCATTGTTCGTATCTTTTATAAATTTTTTTTCTTTATTTGTTTAAATTTGTTGAAACTCGTTGTGATTATTATTTGATTCAAAATATATTCAAGAAAGTATCTAAAATATTTCTATCATTTTTTCTCTACGTTTATACATGTGAAATATATACATTTTAAAAAACTAAAATCTTTTATTCTCAAATTGATATTCATGAAAACCAAAAATTTACATAATTAAAAAGAAATCTTGATTGAATATTTAAACGTCGATTTTTATAATATTAATATTTGCAACTTTTAAATTGAAAAATATCTGCAATAATTTCTCTTCGAATGTAATATTATGCATTACATTTCCATTTCATTATAGCAATTGTTTAAAAAAAAACAAAATCGATATCTTTTAATGATATGGACGTTTCAAAGAGATTCGAATTATAAGAGCTTCATTTTTTATTTAGATATTTCAAGATTCCATCAGAAAGTAAATATAATATTTCGATTTCGTAATAATAATTAAGGATTAAAATAAACTCGTCTCTTTTGATCATACGGAAAGAAACGGATCAAATGAAAACATCAGTTTCGAGATGGAGCATATCGATCGATCGACTGTTCGCGCAAGTCAACAGGTGTCTTCGCGTAAGAGCACTTTCGATCTTAACAGTTACCTCTCTCCCCTCTGACAGCCGGTCGTACCACTTCTCTTCGGCTTGTTTCTCTCCCACGGCCAGCCACGATGTCAGAGACCTTTGCCCCAATTCACTTTTCTCTTTCTCTGCCACGAAGGTTAGCCTCGAATCGCCTTATCGGTTTCATTTCCCCGCTTCGTCGTCCCACACCTTTCGCTTTCCTTCCTTTTTCCTCCTTCGGGTTGAACGCGATTCACTACTCAGATCACTCAATATTCGATCACTGGTCCCGTGTTTCTACGTTTCCTTACGATCACTGTTAACCAAGTTCACCCGATGCTTTCAACTTTTACGATATTTCAATATCACAACGCGATTTTTCTTTTAGAACGATTTCGTTTAAAGAAGAAACGATCGATTTGGAGCATGGCCGCTCTTTAACGTTTTCCACGCGCGTTTGACGAGCCTGTTCGAGATATCGAGACTTTGGTTAACCGATCTTGCGCACGCGCGGATCACGCGCAAAACTCGCTTCGAGATCGAGTTACAGTATTTATTCGTCATAAGCTCCCAGCTAGGAACCAGCTATGAGTATACTATAGTTACTTATTAGGAATAAGAAATTCTAACCAACAAACGAGGATCGTAGAGAAGGCAAGTACCGAAGGACGAGAAGGCATTGAGAGTTTAAGTATTTATAAAGAAGTTTATGATGTATACTTTCGATGTGAAGTTAGTCGTTTCATTAAATATAAGAGAGATTCGTTCCTATTAGTGAAAATGATTTTCGAGCATTCGCTCAGAAGAATTCGAGCATGCAACGAATGAGTGAGTATTGTATTTCTAATTGTGTATTTATGTTAAATGAATTGAAAAAGAAAAATTGATATCAACTTTTTTGATGTCTGATTTAAAATCGTCTATAAGTTTTGTTTCAATCAGAATTCATTTGAAAAAGATTAAAAAATAAAATCTGCTTAGTAATATTACCGAAGTGAATCTTAACCTTAACGAAGCATACGTTGATTGGTGCATTTACATATTATATTTATGTTAGTAATATTTTTGTATAATATAAATTGTATTATATTATTATATATTATTTAATACTTGTTTTTTCTTCTATATTCTTTTTTTTATTTTCTTATAAATTGAATATTTTAAGTATAGAAAAAAATAAAAATTCAAGAGGATAACTTTTTATTCTATAATTTTTACGTAATAAATTTTTATATCTTCGATAGAAGCTTGAGATTCATTTTGATTAATATATTTGCATTTAATTGTAATAATTTGAAGATATCATATGCATTACGATAAAATTTATTATTATACATCACTATTAAATTTATGTGATAATTTTTTAAAAAAATTATTTAAAGCTTTCTGAAAAAAACCATTATACATATATTCGTCAATATTATTATTACATATATATTAATTCAATATAAAAATAATCACATAAAAGTAATCGAAACGTGTATAATAATTTTCATAGAGATAAATTTAAATTACTCAATTTATCCAATTTTAACACAAATAATTACCATGATCAATGTATTTTTTTATGCCATGGTTATTTTTTCTACTTGATAAAATAGTCGGAATTATCCGATGATAATTTTGCAGCAATTTTTATCGTATTCCAACCGTGCAATCTAAATTTTTACATTCTCATTAAAAAACAACGAATTATCAATTTACGTTGTAATAAAAATTATACGTATTTCAATTATACCTTATAAAAATTTATTTTAAAAAGCTTTAAGATGAAAATAAATATTATGAAAGACAATCAAGATATTAAAATTCAATTTTCTTTTCAATATTTTCAAGGATTTACCCGTTGCGTGTATTTTGACATAAATAGATATTAAATCATGTTTTCCTTTTGCCATATTCTTCATCGAATATTAATACTATTGATATATTTATTTGCTCAATTTAAGATCGTCAGACGTGATTCTTCCCAGATTCGAATCTTTCAGACGAAATACGAATTAGATATCGGAACAGCAAAAATCTAATTGCCGATATTCGATTTATTTCAAAATTTCCTTTTATCATCGATCATACGCGCAATGAAATATCTGTTAAAACAGATCCTTATCCAATTACGTATTTACACATAATACAATTTCAAGAACGATATAATATCACGAATTAAACAACGGCATAAACAACGGTTAAATATAGATTTAAGCACACTTGAATAGATATCATTGTGTAATCGCCAAATTGATTAAATTACTTATTCTTAATCTCTTTCTCACAAAAAAATAATAATAATACTTTGTATCCATCACGCGTTACGAATCCACGTTACAATTTTCCACAATTCCGCGATTCTTGCGATTCATAAAAATGAATTAATCACGCGTTAGAAACGAAGCTTCCAACTCGCCCAAGCGTCCAAAAATTTACGGCTATCCGATATCTGATTAAAATTCCATTAAAAACGTGGCAAGGACGATCGTTTCTAGGAGAGTTTCCGAGAAACCGGTAACTCTCGACTCTCAGAAGAAGGAAGTACTTATTTGGCGGGAGCACGGTCACGTAAGGGCACGTGATAAATTTTCTCTCGTTAATGCCTCGACATCGATGGATCGGCCGCGGTGCCGGGAAGAAAGATTTTGCCCGGGAAAGGTGGACTCGGCTGGAAAATGGAAAGTTGGAAATTACGGTTAGATTCGTTCCTTCGGCTTTTCTCGACTCGGCCGAGGAAGAAAAAGAAGAAGAGGAGGAGGAGGAAGAAGAAGAAATACAGAAGGCACAGCCTAACGGATAGTTAACGAAGATCATTACCTTAGCCGCTACTTTCCATTTAATCGCCTCTAGAATAGAACTACACACGTGCACCGATACCGATACGTGGCCGACCGCCGCTATTTGCTCGATCACGTATCCGATTCTTGCTGGTTCCGTAATTTATCACGCGTGCCTCGCTTTGGAAACGGACGTGAACGTGGTCGTAGATGAGGAACGTCGAATCGAAGGACGCCGATTTTTCGAATCGTAAGAATCCAATGCGCTCGTTAAGTTGCCCATATGCAGCCTAATTTGATGGATCTCGATTAACATTAACTCTTTTCTTTTTTTTTTTTTTTTTTGCTTCAATTTTTATAATACGATGTATGTACCCGTTTTACTCGCCTCCGTTTAAATATTTATACGTTCGATTCAACGTTCTTCCTAACTTTTCGAGATTATTCTTTGTCGGATAATTTTATTAATATATATATTTTTATACAAATAGTAAAATAATGTATACTCGTTTTATTTTTTTTTAGATTTTTAGACATTCGATTCAACGTTCTTCCTAACTTGTCGAGATTATTCTTTCTCGGATAATTTTATTTATTAATATATATATTTTTATATCGGATAATTTTACTAATTTTATTAATTTTAATATATATATTTTTATATAAACAATAAAAAACAATGTATACTCGTTTTATTTTTTTTAGATTTTTAGATATTCGATTCAACGTTCTTCCTAACTTGTCGAGATTATTCTTTCTCGGATAATTTTACTTATTAATATATATATTTTTATACAAGTAAATATACAAAGTGTTGTGTATTCCAAACACACGATACTTATAAGATACAAACAAAATAATCGGTCTTAAACGGGCATAAGATAACTAGGGTTTGAATGACAGGTAGATAGCTTGTGCTCGTGCAATCGTCATTATTTGTAGCATCTGCGGGCGCTGTACACGGGGAAAGTTATCTATATATGTGCGTATATATACGTCGTTAATTTCACCGAATGACAATACTCTACTTCAATCTTCTTAAATCGCCTTCTTAAATCGTTCGTACAAAGTGATCGGCGTACGCAAATTTCAATTTACAAATTTCAATCCCGTTTAATGGCTCTATTCGAGATCTGTTAAGATATTAAGAGAAAAAGTTGCTGGAGAATGAATTTTCCTTTCCTTTTTTTAATTTATACTTATGTATTTTATTACTTTTAAGATTTAAGGAGCAAAATTTTAATCTGATAGATTAGATATATTATTATTATTGTTATTATATTTTTATAATGAAAATTTCCTGTCAATTCTGTTGCTAATACTGGGATGAACATCTTTGTTTTTCTTATATAGAATTATTTATTGTTTTTTTATTTATCGTTGTTGTTGGGAAGAAAAACAAACCACTACTGAAAGTTCTCTCGTCAAAAGCCAACCTAATATTTCGATACTTGCTGCAGAAATAATATTCTAAATTAAATTCATTTTTCGAAAAAACAGAAAAGAATTTATTACACAAAGGAGAATATAAGAGGACAATATACAATATACTAAAAATATATTAAACAAAATATAAGTTAAGTTTACAAGTCATTCATTCCAAAATCGGCAACTTCGATCTAACATATCAATAATCTCGAAGATAAAAAAAAAAAAGAAATAAAAATAAAAATCACGTAAACCAAGATCGGAGAATTTCGTTCTTCGTTTCCCAAAACCGTCTGAAAAATCGTGGCAATAATTACACCTCGCTTCGATCCGATTAACAGACGCGATTAAATGCGGACGGCCTCGCTCGAATCGATTGTCATTTCACCGGTTGTAACGTTCCGTAATTACACTGTCACGGCGCATGCGAAATTGAGTTCGCGGCGAGGTTTCATTATCGTAAGCCCGGCCCGGCTTTCCTTGATCGAATCGGGCTCGAAAGTGGGCCCGAAAACGGCGCGATTTTCGTCGATCCCTCGAAACTTGACAGCCGTAGCAGCGGCGTTAACGATCCTGTCGGACAGCTCGGTGGACAAGATCGTAAAAGATCGTAAGAGATCTGCGCGGAATCGTCCGTCTCTCTCCTTTAATTTTTTTCTCAATTACACGTGCTGCGTAGCATTTATTAATATCGCTGTTTAATATTTTCTCTCGAGCGAGGGAGATCGTTTTCGCGATGGATTTTTTTTTTTTTAGAAGAATAGAAACTGTAAGTTACGTCGAGTACGTTCGAAAGTAAAAATATAGCAAAGGAGATATTTTTTTTTTTTATTATATATTTTTTTATTTGATCGTATCTTTCTATTTTTCAAGAGTAACTTGAGTTAAGAATTTCATTGCAAACCGGGGATTCTCATACGCGTTTTATTAATTTTATTTCTACAATATAATGTTATGAATATATCGAATTCGAATAATTTATCAAAAAAAAAAAAAAATTGTAGAAACTTTGAATACAGTATTATTTTCTATTTTAATTAATTAATTAGAATTAATCTGATCCCGACTGCGTTCAATTTGATTGTAAATAATGATTCTTATGGATAGAAACTTCGGATTATTTTACAGAACAGAATTTAAATTTCTGTCGATCTGTCCACCGGTTTGATGAATTTTCATTCGCAAATATGATCGGTTAAATTATCTCTCGATCGTTATTTACGGGTTGGCCATC